GTCAATATAAACGCAAAACACGTCAAGTTTTTTGCATCGAATATTGTCGCTCAGAGGTAAACATTTATTTCAGTATGCTTATTGAGAAAAAGAATTATTGTGTCAAATTCACTGTGTCCAAAATGCTATCAATACAATTTAGCTTTCATTTCAAACGTTCGAAATTGAATGATTGATTAACGGTTGACATACGTTCTAATGATTTTTCGGTAGAAATGTATATTATAGTACGTTGTAATGAGACAACATTCCTTCATTAAATACGTGCACAATTTATAGATGATTTAATAGATTTTCTCGATGATTGAGTGTTGAAATCCTTTAATTTACGGGCAATGAAGCATTTGATCGTTGAAACACAAAAAAACAATTTACCAAATGGAATCAATCTCAGTGAATCAGTCTGATTTTTTTTTTCAAATTTCGAGCCGACGATGATGCAGTAGGAGCGATACACAACGAGGTCAATGTAAAGAGGGTGACATAGAGAGATCGATAGAAACTGCTTAGGCGGTTAAAAATAAATTCCAAGTAAAAATACTTTCACGACGTCTACAGTCTAGGAGACACGCATATTATCAATAACCAATCGATTTGGAGAAGGCTCAACGCATATACGCACAATCAATCAAATAATTCATCCGTTTCCAAAGGCCGCTGAATTATATAAACAACCCATTTAAATTGTGAATAGTTAGCTCTCTGGTGCAATTTCTATAAGCCAACGTGAGACTCTCACGGTGAGAGAACGCAACAATTTTATTATCACCAACTCAGCACTATCCCGTGTACAAAAAAAGTGACTGACTATTTTGGGACAAACTGACTGACTATTGACTGTAAAAACAAGCAACCTTAGTTAAATTTAGTTAACTTCAATCAATTAAAGTAAGCTATGGTTAACTGCAACAGCTAACTATAGTTGACAATAATCATAGTCACCCGATAGTCGAAACGTCCCAAAATAATCGCCTGACTGACTGAGTAACTATAGTCGATTGTTTTCCATACAAAATTTTAAAATTCATGAATATAGCTAACTATAGTCACTTACAGTCAATAGTAACTTAGTCACTTTTTTTCCACCCGGGATACTATATAAATATTTGAATGACTAGTGTGTTTTTTTTTTCGTTGCGTGTATTTATGTAACGAATTCTTATTTATACACATTATACATAACCCGGCGTTGCCCGCTAACAATTGACTTTTAACGACCCACTTTTCTACCACGACCCACATTTTTTTCTGTGACCCGTATTCAAACCAAATGGAAGGATCTAACAATAAACACGTACCTACGCAGGGTTTTTTTCATATGGTTTTCTTCATTCATCATTTTTGGTCAACAAAAATGCCCATCGTATGCTTATAAAACTTATTGAAATCAAATTTATTGAAAATGAATTTTTACAAAGCCATATTGACACAGGAATGTCTCATAACGATAGAAAAGATTTAAAATTCTTGTCGACTTAAAAATTATCTCAGCTCTTAAAAGGGACGGCATTTTCTATACCACAGTGTATGGTGAATGTTTATATATTCGTCAAGTAAAACTCATAGTCCATTGTGAATAGCAGCTGCGTGAGAGTCATATATAATTCTAACTTTTCCGATATAATATTCGCTCTTCTTCCTCATCGTCCGGATCGTGCAAATATTTTCGCTTGGGAGAAAAGTTTTTTGAGATTATTTATGCATTATTAAATCGATTATTATCCCGCAGTCAAATTAAAGTATGAAAGTTCAATTGCATTAATGAAAGATGCACGGCAATTTCATTAAATAAACTTATCGCTCGAACGTCTTTTCGACTTGAGCGCAAACGAAGACGGGCCACACCTTACGGTTTTCTATACGGTTATAAAAAAGTGTCATTTGTTACGTTGCGTTACCGCTGAGAAAACACTTTATCTACGTCCATTTTCCACAAGAGACCAAACGATTCGGAATGAATATTTAAACATAAGCGTCTATAGATTTGAACTAGACATGATGAGTCTTACGGCTGTCATCAAATATGTGTCTATCGAAATGCAAACACTATTCATGTTTTTGAAACATTTCTTTCAATTTGTTATCACAGACTATTGAACCATTGCCGTCTCATCTTTCAAAAAGGTCACCGCCAAATACGATACAGAGAATCTACGAATTCTCAAGAAAACAAAATGATTTATAATTGAACTTTGAACTTTTTGTTTAAAATTCCAAAAATTTCTATCGAAAATCTGCTCAATAATGAAAATATCATTTTTACTTTGAATTTGTTTGCCGTCGTGGGAATCGTACGCAAAGGTGAATAGGTGCTGTTTCCAAAACTTTTCGAACAATTTATACATAAAATGTCAAATGAAAATTCCCTTTTTGATTTTGTTTCGATATCGTCGATTGCATGTTAAAAATCTGTTTAGGAATTGTGCATGAGAAAAAGCATTTACACATGGGAAAATTCAAGTCGGAAAATTCAGCAAAAAGCTTGAGCATTACAGTACATAACACTTGCCATATACATGACAGATACATATATACATGGGTTAGCTGTTCAATTTCATGCATGAAACTACTATTATGACCGTGAGAGAGTTTTATATTACGAAAGAATGAATAGAATAAACGCATGATTGAGGGGTGAGCAAAAACAATTGTGAAAAACTTACGACAAAGTGACACATTTCAAACGAATGCCCCAGAAATTGTTGGTTTCGGAACAGGAAATACAACAAAACTATCAAAAAAAAGGAAACTTATTGAGGTTTTAATTCGTTTAAGTTTTTAACTCCATTAATATCAATTTCACGTAAAATTTTCCAATCGAAGTTTGAACGCTTTAAATTAGTTGAGACTGAATAAATAAGAAGTATGGTCAATTCACTTGATAAGCGAAAATGAATCGAAAATGTTGCCAACATACACAAAATTCGCATGCTTATGATTGACCATTTCCGGTCATAATTCATAAAACGCCTACCTTCAATATACACTTTTTCGAACTAATATTCAACGATTTAACACCCCATTACCCTTGAGAGTGGCAACACTTCTATTAAATAAGTTCGAATAGTGTCCATTGACACTAAATGTCATTGATTTTCAGTTAAAGACTTTTATTAACTCTTTAATTTTGATGCTAATACAATTACTTACTCGCTTTCATTATTAGACGAGGGAATCGATGTGCTTTGACATTCGGAAAAAAAGAAAAGTATTTTGAAATGAATATACCTGCCACTTTTTGTTTAGTGAATATTGAAAATTCATTGTCGGCAAACAAATCATTTCGAGCAAAGTCAAATCAAACCAAATGATTCTCGTATTGTTTTACTCTTAAATGATTAGTACGATATTATTGCGGTAGGTTTTCTCAGTGTGTGCGTTTATGAGTTGTTGGTGTTTGTGTTCATATAAACTGAAACATTGAATTAATCGAAATGGTTGTTGTCTGTTGAAGTTTTCTATCGACGTGGTCCGAATTTCAAATTGATTTCAACGCTATATCGACTTGAGTTTGATTATGTTTTACAACACTTACTGAATTGAATCGAACCGAAAAACTTTTCGGAATAATCAACAAAAGACTGGTCGAAAATCGGTTAAACTTCGAATCTCTTTCAAAAGTGGTGATTTTAATATGAATTGAGGGTATGGGAAAATCATGAATGGAATTGGGCAACATTTTCATCGGTTGTTTCGTTGAAGAGCACGTGCTGTGAAAAATAAAAACATGGAACGTGCAAGTATCAGCTGAAGTGATCATCAAAGTTGATATCCTTTTCATGCATATATACAACAAGAGCGTTTAATTCAATTTGAAGCGCGGACCTAACACACTAATTTTTATATTTATGCATTACGGTCCCATAAACACATTAATTTGCGGATTATAGAGTACAAGATCTGTTTTTGCGTTGATTCGTTTGAACTATACAACTCAATATACATATATGAATTCTACGTTGTATAGAATAGCATGGAAAATGTACACATCAAAGCACTTCATACCTGTGGTATGTGTATGAGTGCCAAACATGGTACATATTCATGACGGTACACATATAAATGGATAATGTGTGTGCATATGGGCTGTTATTTGCTGTTAATATTGTTGAATTTTTTTTCATTTCGTGTTTTCTAAATATCGCGTCCCTATCGTTCGGTTTTTGTTTGTCATCATTACCGATTGTTGGTATCGTGTTTGTTTCTGTTATTATTTTTGTTGTTGTTTCCGATCGCTGGAGAAAAACGAGTGAATACTAAAAAGCAATAACCAACGCAATAAAGCACAGTGTCAGACATTAGAACGGTTTGTGTTGCGTATGTGGTTCACAAAATCAACACACACACAGAGTCAACCAACACTATTTAAAAAAGATTAACCAACCGAATGTGGGGATTCGAATCGGCTCGACTGACCTATACACATCGATTTCAATCAGCTCACTCACTATGAATTGTCACATAATTTCCGAAAGACAAACAGGAAAATCTAGTCCCTCCAAAAAAGCACCCATATCCATGTGAGAATGTATGTTATGTTATTGTTTGATGTATACACGATGAAATTGAAGTGGATTAAGGTTTCTATGTTCACTTGTTTTCATAATATTTGTAACGAATTAATTATTGAACGGAAAAAGAGTGTATATGTACAACCAGTGGCCGATTCAGCGGGGGATTTGAACAAACTCCATTTAATGAAGTGGAAAAAAAAGATATCGAAAACTTTCAACAGCTAAACGAACCAGGTGAAAGTTGATTCTGAAGTTGTATTGTTATAGTCGACATTGACAGTGAGATAGGGAAAGAATGGCTGATTCGGACGACTCATATTATTTTATCATAACAATTTCATGAGTTCGGTTCGTGGCTAAATGAACATTAATTTTTTTTATTGTAATTCGTTCGGGAAGTTTTTCTTTTTTTCCACCAAAATCTCTTCACATGTAATTTTCGCGAAGTGACATTTTTATACGCAATAAAACCATTTTGTGATTTCATGAACAAATTCATCGGAGAAAAAATTTCTCTTACGGTGTGTTTTTCGTAAAGTTCAAGTGTATTTGGTATAGAACGTGAATCAATTAGGATTATTGCGGTGATTATTTTTAGAATTGCGGAAAATTTTAATTTAAAAAAAGCCTCGAGATTTTTGTTTGTTGTTGATGATGAAGGTAAGTAAGAACAATAGTCATTTGTGTTTAAAAGAAAACCCAGAAAGTTTGTAGAATGTGTAAATTACACACTATTGTGTCGTTCAAACAAAATCTCATGGAGATTAATGATATGCAGTGAAATTTCACATTTTTTAACATGGGTACTTTAATGTCACCGCTCCATTTAAACGGTGGCTAAAACAAATAAACAAAAACAAATTACGTTCATATTTAGAATTGTATTACGACTACGAGCAAAAATGTTTACGCGATATAAAAATGGCAATGTTTTTGCTTGTGAAAAACAATGAAAAATTCAACAGTACGACCGTTCGTTCAATGAAATTAGTGACACGTTTTGTTCTCCTTTTTTTAGTTAACATCGATGTAGAAAAAAAAAACCGATTTCGTTATAAGCCAGTTGAATGAATAAAGTGAAAGGGAATCGCATAATACAAAACACAGAACACAAATACAGTTTCGTTGAATTGATGTAATACGTAATTATTGTGAATCTCGGCAACACACGGACTTCAGTTGATCGTCATTTGGTCAAGCGAATTGTATGTGATTTGTCAGAACAACCTAACATCGTATGTAAATGGATAATGGGGATTTGTTTGGATACAGGTAATCTTTACAAGTAAAATGTACTTTTTTTTATCCAACACGCCAGAGTTGACAACAAACCGGCGAACTTTCCATAATGAAATTGTTGACAACTCTGGTGCTACATGCACCAAAAGAAGAAATATCTTGTCAAGACGCGAAATTTAGCGTTTAATCTAAAATGACTTTTTTATTCGGAATTCAATATATGAGGGAGAAATGTTCATGCTGTATATGGAATGTTGAAGTAGGCTCTTAAGACAATTGGGCCATTTAATTCATGCAATCACATTGTTAATAACAGCAAACGATTGCGTCAAAGGAAACCAATTTCCTTTCGTATCGTCTATAAGTTCAAATAGTTTTTTTCTATTTCGTCTAAATTGAGTTTAGAAAGATATGAATGTTCGAGAATGAAAGCGAGACTTCCATTCACAACTTATTGAAATGTAACATCGCCATATAAAAAGTGCTGACTGTCAGCATATTTTGTATGGTGGTGTTACATTTCAATAAGTTGTGAATAGAAAGTCTCGCTTTCATTCTCGGGCAATCGTAAAAGACAGGAAAAAATGAGAGAGAGACAGACAGAGAGAGAGAGAGAGAAAGGGAAAAGGTCTCAACACGTATACATTAAAATGGTCAGGATTAAGAGATAGAGACTCGAAAAATTGATGTGTGACCAATGAAGCACTCACTTTGAAATTGTTCGGCGTGTATGAGCCAAGGTATCGGCCGTACGTTACATTCATTATTTATTTATAAATTGTGTATTAGGCGTTCTTGGCATGTTTTCAAGACTTTGATCGGGGTATTGCCCATAATTGCTGCGTGGCCAGAAAAATCAAATCTTTCACACAGAACACATTAAACCAATATAAAATAAAATAAAAACAAATTGAAGAAGAGAAAGGAACTCATCAATGATATAAAAAATTCCACGTAACATTATACAATCGACAATATAATAAAATAAAAGCAAAACACATAGAAACTAAACTGATAAAATATACATTAAACTCGTGCGTTCAATAGTTTGTACAATACAAACGCACACAAGCTTATCGCATCCAAAATGTACACATTCCTTGAACTCTTTTCGTGTGTATTCTTCTGGAAATTTCAACATTATCTGTTGCGCCCCATTCCACTCCCTTTCTCGCTCTATCGTTCGCCACTTCTCTATCGCCGTACATTGTTTTTTTGATACACATCGAATATATTCGCCTAACATCGACTTAAACTAATTAAAAGTTAATAAAAAATTAACGCTTTCGAATTCAAGCGTTTTTGTTTTAAATGAATATTTTCAAAAAACTATCCGATTTGACCTCGAATTCGAATGAATATTTATAAAGAAATTGATTTTTAACTTTAAATGAATTAATATAAAAATTAATGGTTGTCAAATGTAAAAACGCAAAAATCGATGCGACCAAATAGAAAAGCAGATAAATTCGTGAGAATAACAACAAATGATGTGTGTGTCGCTATCATCTTTTTACATGTACTCCATTTAAATGTGTGTAAATGGTATATAGTGAGTTATTTATCGCAGCTGTTATCTTATCCATTTTTACCACGGTTTGTTATTGAACACATATCGATAAAGTCACATCAAACAAATGTGTGAATCCACGGCAATTGAACTCAGCAAAACGGCCTTAGCATAGTTCAAACTATATTCCAACAATGTATACAAATTGACCGAAGCTTTTTCTACAGCCAAAGTCGTGCACTAAATTCCTGCAATTTTTTTTTCAATTCGAAAATGCGTATTAGCAACAAGGTGATCAATAAGTTAATAACATTTTACAAACAAAATTCAAAAAATATTCTCTTATGTCACACTCTTTTACCCCTTTCTACATCTAACTTCTCTTCTTTTTCTTCCATTTTTCCTTTTCGAAATTGACACAATGCAATTGCATTGCAAAAAAATGAATAAAAAGAAATTCTCTAAACTGGAATGATTTTCTTATGAAAGTCTGATAGAAATCAATTGGAAATCGTTCAAGCGCAAAACCGCTCTATCCATGCAGTACAGTTACCATCAGAAACCAATTTTCCGGCAACCGAAAATCAAGACGACGAAGACGAATCAGATGGGAAAATCCAATTTTC